GATGGGAAAGGCTATTGCACATTCCCAACCTATCTTTTTAGACATTTTCAATTGGACATTATATTTAAGATCACACGTTTAACACATCATTTTGATATCTAAAAAGAACAAGAAATGTGAGGCAATGGTTCTTTTCTCTCATGTTTTAATGGCCCCCATGCCCAGCGGTCAGAGACCCTTAGAGAGATATATTTTCTTCTCTTTCTGCTCTTGTTAGGATGACATTTAATGCTTTCCTTCCACCATTTACTTTCTTCCCCACACAGATAAAACCAACATTTGATTTATCAACTCTGGAAGAAGTTCAGAAATTTAAATGAACCCCAAGTCATTCAACCGACAGTTTTTATTACAAAGAGATAAGAAATACGATTTCTTCGTATGCAATAAAGATGCCTGGAATTCAATGCCACAGGATACGTGTATGGGACAGATTTTCTGAGGAGAAAACAGCTGTGTTGAGCCATCATTCTTCCCTGGTCCTTTGGTGGACAACGGCACCCTTTTAAAATGATAACTGACCAAGCCGGCCACGTGACTCCATTGTGTGTTCCTCTCAGTTCACTGGTCAGTATGTAGAAACACTGTAACCTTGGTAGTCTAATGAAGTAAGTTTTGCTACAGAGATTAGAAACTCTTTGAGGATGAGAGGCAATGCTTACCTTTTTGAAGAGTGCCTAAGTTATAAAACAATGCCCAGAAAATGTGCTCAGTTGAACAAATAGACATTGAAAGCAGTCTGTATGTGAGAAGTATTTGCTAAGTCTCATACATATTCTTCTAATCCTTGAGTCATGATAACAAATATTTGATTTCCATTGTTTTGTAGGGTTAAAAATGAGATTGCTTATATTTCGGGTTAAGGGTGTAGTGTTCCTAGTACTCAAGGAGTCCTGCAATTCTTTAAAGCGATGGAGTAAAACTGACCACCCGCTCCGTACTGCTCTACTTTGTTCGGATGCGCACAATGGAGTCCTATAAACCTCCTTCCTGCTGTAGAAGTTCCTTGACTGCAGTCTCGCCTCCCGCCTTTACTTACCATTCAGACACCAGGACACCGTGGTGTCCGTTTGTACTCTCCGTGCAGCAGCTTCTGGTGAGTCTTGGTCTCATGGAGACTGGCAGCCACTGGAAACAAACAGCAGCTTCAGAAGTTTTGCTGCTTCCCCAAAGCTCTGCACCATTCTTTTCTTTGTCTCATAGATTCTAAGATCTCTGCTGCTGCCTTGTGTTCAGAAACTAGACGCTTCAGGTCTTCTTGGTTCAGACAGACAAATGTTTTATACTTTTTAAAAAATGACCTACATCCGTCAGGCTCTAGGGAGGGAAGGAGGAGCTGAAACACGTAACTAAGGAGGCAAGCAAGACTGCTACTGCCTTCGGTTCCACTCGGGCAGGCTGCTCTCTGCTTGCCTTGATCTTTTGCTTTGTGGAAGTGACAGCATTTTTGGTGCTCTGCTCCAAGCGGTGTGGCTGGGGCGAGCAGATGTACCAAGCCATTTGGCTGTCCTGGGACCAACTCAGAGAGCCTCGCTTCTCCCTTGTGAAGTCATCTCCTCCCTGCAGCCAGCCTCTCCCATCCCTCCATGGTGGATCTTGGCTTCAGCTCGCATAGTTCCGACGTGATGTCGATAGTCTTCTAGTTAAGTTCTGGAGAAATCTACCCAATCATGTTCAGGGCACTTACAGGAAAGGAGAAAACTGTTCTGTTGAAAGAAACATTTTACGGTTACATTTTGCTTTAGGGGTGGGGAGACATAGGGTATCTGATTTCAGGGAAAAAATTTAATTTTGGGTGGCTTTCTAAGGATATTTGTCTGTGATTAATTTTTCTGAGTACAAAAAAAAAACCTTTCAGGTTAAAGTACAATGAGACTTTGCCTTTGCAAAATTTCTTTTTATTTTTTAAAGGAGACAACAAAGACCTTTCTTACACCTACATTTTCTAGAAAACCAAAGAGGATGTAAAGTACTGGGTGGAATGGCTGTCCCTGATCTGTAGGGATTTTTTTGTTTTTGTTTTAAAGTAAACAGTTGTGATGCAGTTGGAGAGGGCTGACTTCCTTTTTCCATGGTCTTTGGAAGCGGCGAAGGTACATTGATGACCTGTGGCATTCTTTCCCACCAGAGTGCATGCTTTGCTTCCTTGTGCCCAGGGCCAGTCAGAGCAGGAAGCTGAAACACGAACTCTCATTTTCTGAATGTAAATAGGGATGGAATCTTGTCATCCCAGGCAAAACAACAGGCAGTGCCATATCTAAGGATGCTTTGCCTGATCAATAAAAAAGAAGGCTGACATGCGATCCTCAAGAAACTGGGAAGGAGGTTTAGATGAAGATAAGAAGCTCCCTGGAGACTCACCTGCCATTTACACCTGCCTTGGCGGGCGTCCCTGGAGCTTGTCCAAGTTTCTAAAGACAAGATCAAGGCAACAACGAAGCAAAGCCCATAGCTCTTGGCTCATGGTTTCTTGTAGACACCAACACTATAAATGAAGTTCTTGCTTTATCTATGCCTGCGATCTGGATGTTCGCATGAACAGCATCCCCAGTGCAAGGTCATGATTCCAACAGGGACTCCCAGTACAACCGGAGGTTTTAATTACCATTTGATGTAGTCTTGAGCATAATACATAGGAAAATGGAGTTTTAGTTATAAAAGCCACAAAAATATTTTCCCTTTAAAAACTGCTGATAGTTTTGTCAAACTTAAAGAATCAGAAATAGCTGCTTTCTTCTTCTATTTGAAGAAGACCCTCAAGATCAGTTAGAGCTAGGTATAACATAGCTGTAGACTCTATCCTGGATATACCTGATGTGTTTTCCTTTTTTCATTTTATTCTTTATTTTGGACAGCTAAAGGGGGAAATCTGCCCTAGCAAAGAAAGCAGATATACAGGGGATGTCAATTTATTTTAGTTGACAGTCCGAAGAAGTGTTTATTTTTCTAAATAAATGTTACAAGGTATAGAAGAGGTAAGGCATGCAGCATCAAGCTTTTCAACACCACCAGTAATTTGATTAGCTGAGACTGCCTAACTGCTTTGGCCTGTAACACCACTTGCTCAAGGGTTACAATGTCTAGGGATAGTATGAGGCACTATAAATATCGGAGAGCTACAGGGTCTCACTTGAAAAGATAAAGGAAAACATCTCAGAACGTAAGGAGGTTCTGACCCAAACATTACAGAAAATGCCCCACATGTACAGAGGATATTATTTATAAAGAAAGCTAACTCTCTCCCTTGTACATGCATATGAATCCACTACTAGTTGCTTGATTCTGGTCTATGTCCCCTTTGTAGAACTGTTCTATGTAACCACCTTAGGAAGGGAGAGTCAGGTAATGGAGAGATGATAAGCTTTCAAACTGGCAGATCTGTCACACATGGCCTTGGGCAAGTCATACAAATGAAAATAATAAATGTATCTTGAAGCACTTCAGAGGAAGATCTATCCAAATGCCTGGAGCATTCTGCCTCATTCTTTCTCCTTCCTACATAAAGTCATCTTGAATCAAACGTTTCATTCTGGTGAAACCTCTGCTGTTAAATGTGCGAGTCTGGGAGCGTCACTTGCTGCACCCTAGTTTACCTGCATGTTAAATGCAAAGGCTACAGTCTGATTCTATGACTACTGTTATAAACAGTTACTGGGGCACATTTTAATGCCCTGAGTGGTAGAATAATTAATAATAATTAATAATAAATAATTCCCTGCAAAACAAATAGATTTCCAAATGATATGATCGGCAGTTTTGTTACTCAGTGTAGTAAGCTGACAAGTAAAATAGAAATGGAAAATGCACATTCTGAGACTGGAAGCTTCACTGGTAAAACTGCCACCTGTTTATGGTTTGGTATCGATGATCGTGCTGAATGACCGCAACCTAGAAAAGGCACATGCAAGAGACCTTGGAAAGTCTTTAAAGAGCAAGTAAGACAATCCAGTCAGAGAAATCCACAGTGAAAACCACTGTGTCCTTTCATCACTACTGTTCTGAGGTCCCTGAACTCGATACAAGTTTTTAAGCAAAGCCTCCCTGGAGAAGAATTACGAGGATTCTTTCATATTTGTGTGGAACAGAAAGTTCACCATCCACTCCAGGATCCCTGGCGTTACCCTGACTTACACCTGGACTCATTCTGTTCCCAGTGTATAAGATCATACTCGATGTCACAGGAAAACCCAAAGTCCCTGTTTTCTGGGAGCAGAAAAACTTTGGGTCAACTGGTTGACCCTTTGCTCCTTAGGGCCCTGTTGGAAACCTTTTGTGACACAATGCAAGAACTCCTCCAAGAGTTGATGTTGTTTACACAGCGGGGAGGCCGGCCTGAAAAGGGAAATGGGCCTAAACACAAGGTGGATTTTGGTTCTATTTCCTGTCAAGGTGGAGTGTGATGGCTAGATCCACGGAGTCTCAGTAACTCAGAAAAATTATTAACTACACTGCCAGAAGGGACACTGAAAGAGAGAGAGGAAAGGAATGAGGGAGAAGCCAGGCGGGATTTAGGTGGGGAGGTGCGGATTTGCGGCAGGGGAAGGGGATCCTTTTTGAATCCAACAAGGGATTTGCCCGGGGGATTTCCTGCGCAGCTCTTTACTGCCAGGCTCTTTGTGTGTTGCGGGAGGCCGCCGGGCTCCCCATTGGGGAGGTCCCTGGAAGGGCAGGGGGGATTCTCACAGGAGGATCTCACTTTCTGCGTCCCTCGCAGGTTGGCAGGAGCCTGCAGCCTGACACTTTTCCAACGGGGACAGGCAGCTCTGGGCGCACACGCGGGCTTTAGCCAAGTTCTCGGGTGCTTTGAGAGTTTCGGCTGCTTCCAAACAGCAAGGATCCCGCTCGCTTGTTCTGCTCCGCTCCCCCTCTCTCGGAGCTGGCAGCGTGGGGGGCGGGGAGAGGGGGTGGGGCCGGACGGGAGGTGGGGGCCGCGCGGTGCGGCCAGGCTCCGGAGCGCGCTGCTGCACGGGCTCTGCCGTCCCCAAGCCGATTGGTACTCGCGGTCAGGAGGAGACGCGGGGAGGTGGGAGTGCCGGGAGGAGGCAGGCGGTCCCTACTCGGGCTGCCCTTTCTGGCCCTGCGCCTGCTCTCCGAGGCCGGGCTCCTAGGAGTGGCTGAGCCGCGGGGCGCTCGGGAGCGCGTGCATGAGCCCTCCTCTCCCCCCGCCTCCTCGGCGCTGACGGTACAGTGATATAATGATGATGGGTGTCACAACCCGCATTTGAACTTGCAGGCGAGCTGTCCCGAGCTCTGGGGGAAGAACTCAGGCGCGCGGAGCAGCAGCTGCGAGCAGCAGTGGCGCGGGGCGCAGGCGCTTGGGACCGGGAGCGCATCCTGCCTCGTCCTCCGGCCCCGTGCCGCCTCGCGTCCCCGGCCACCGCGCTGCCTATGTGACCCGCCCCGTCCCGTCCCGTCCCGGCCGCGCCGAGCCCGTTCGCACAGCGCGCGGAGACTTCCCCCCAACCTGCAGAAAGCCGCCTTCCAAGGTAATCACGTTTCTTTTGTTTCCCCCTTTAAAGGGAGAAAAGAGAAAAAACTTAGAGGGCAAAAGGATCGCATGGATTTTTTTTTAAAGAAATAACATTGCAGTTGGTAGAGGCTTTGATGAAGGCACAGGGAGGCTGCTAGTGGGCGAAGCTGGGAGTGTGCACTTCGGGGCACGTAACTTTCCAGAGGGCTCGGGGCGCGGCGCAGAGGGACCCGGCGCCGGCAGGACTCAGACAAAAGGAGCCGGGTGGGCGGGGAGAGGACCAATGGGGCGACAGGATGCGCCCGGCACAGCCCGGGAGCGCGGGGCCTAAGCTGGAGGGGACCCGGCGCCTCGGTGCCACCGCCACCCTGAGGGCAAAGTTTGAATGGGCACGCGCGGGACTCGCCCGGCTTCGGTCCCGGCTTCCTGGCCGCGGGCGTGGTCCGTGCCCGGCGTTCCTGGAAAGCCGCTCGCGGGAGGCTCCGGACCGTGCGCCCCGGGGTCTGCGGCGGGACGTGCGGGAGCGCGCGAGGTCGGGGCGCGGGGGGCGCGTGGCCCCGACCGAGCCTCTGGGACACTTGCGGGTCTCAACTCCCGACTGGCGCCCCGGTTCTTTTGTCCTGTGCGCGATGCGTGCCGGCGCTGCGGGGACCGAGCCCCGTGGAGGCCCGGGAGGCCGAGGCGGGAAGCTTGCGCGGAACCAGCAGGGATTTGCAAGGCTTTCTTTTCCTCCTCACCCCGGAGAAACCTGGGGGCTCCGCTCGGGCCTCTGCCCTCCACACAGCGCCCGGGCGCTTTGCAGACAAAGGTGGCGCGGGGAACCCGGTCGCAGCCGCGCTCGCCTCGGTCCCCGTCCCTGCCGCGGCGGAGCTCTCGGTCCCCTGAGGAACTTTTCCGGCCGGCCGCGGGCGCGTCCCGGCTCGGGACTCCGGGGGCGAGGGAGCCGCAGTGGCCGCGCGCTGCCTGTGTCAGCAGCGGGCGCGGGGCGCGCACAGCAGGGCAGAACAGTCAAGTCCCGGCTTGAAGGATTCGCACTGAGCCAGCGCCCAGGGGCGCCCCGCGCCACACCTTGGTGTCCCCTGCGCACCTCCCGGCCCGCCGCCCACCCCTCCCCCGCGGGGACCTGCACGGCCCAAGCGAGACCCCCGCGCCGGACGCGGAGGGAGGGGCGAGCGAGCGAGAAGGTGCGCTCCTTCGGGTCAGCCCCCGCGGGCGCCGGGGCCGGCGCAGCCCGGAGGTCCGGGAACCTGGAGTTTGTGTGGGCGCGGGCGCCCCCTGATGGAGGAATCCCGCGCGGCGGGGGGAAAGGGACCCCACGCCCACCCCAGCGCTTTCCCGGCCTCAGGCTCGGGAGCGAGGCCGCCCCTGAAAGACCAATAGCGCAGGTCTCGCCCTGTGTGGAATCCAAAAGCGACACCAAGAGTGCAGGAGGCCGTTCCTGCACAAGAAGAGGGGGGGACAGGGACGGGGTGAGAGCGAGCCACGGGGCACAAATAGGATCCAGATGCATTCTGCACATCGAACCCGCGCCCCAAAATGTGAGTCTTGGGGTGAGAGTGGCAAGAGGCACAAATCTGTGCAAAACGAAAGCCGTGGACGTGCATCAGCAACAGGCACTGGTAAAGGCCGGGGAGAAGGCTGCAAGGCCGCTCGTTTCCGGCAAGGGTTCAGTCCCCCCCTCAAAATCTGCCTGCATATCCAGGGTTCGGAGGCGCTGGGAGGAAGGGAGTCCCGGCCTCCGTGCGGGTTGTGCGCGCCACCTGCCGGCCTTCGCTAGCGCCGCCGCCCGAGCCCTGCGAAGCAGGAGGAGCCCGGCCCGGCTCAAGCTCAGCAAGTTCGGGGCGCGCTGCGCTCGGACTCGGGGAGAGGGCGGCGCCGGCCGGAGAGGAGGGAAGCGGGGCCGGGGCAGACGGGCCGGAGGGCGAGCTGTGCGTGCGCGCCGCCGGGGACCGGAAGGGCTCCGGGGCGGCCTCTGGGGTCCGCAGCCGTGCCGCGAGCTCCGGAGAGACGAGGGGCTCCGGGGCTGCAGCTCCGCGAGCTGGGCCGGGGCCGGGCCGGGGCGCCCTCGCCCAGCCGCACGCAGAGCCAGAAACCGCGCCAGGCTCTGCCCTCTGCGCCCGCTTCGCCAGCCGCCACGTGGGCTGCGGCTCCGGCCCCGGGCCGAGACGGGCGTGACTTCCTGGGGTCGAGACCGCGCCACAAGGGGTGCTGCGGCCGAGGGGCGGGGCGGGGCGGGGCCCTGGCTGCTGGGATCACCGCAGCTGCGCGCGCTCTGCTCCTGGACCGCCCGCAGCTGGAGCGGACCCGGCCTCCATCCGGACGGCGCTAACCGCGCTTGTTAGAGGGCTGCTTAACTTGTATGGGGCAGAGAAAAGCCACTAGGCTGATCAGGCTGCGCTTGAACCTTCGAGCCTTCTGCCTCGGCCTCCCAGAGTGATGGGCTCCCAAGCGCGCCACCACGCCCGGCTTTTCCTTGTTTCTTGTGACTGGTAGGCGAGGTACAGAGTTTTTGCCTTGAGACAGAAGAAGGGAAAGCTTCACTTCCAGCAGACCCCCCCTTTTGGCTTGAAAATGAGACAACTTTATCCTATGCTCCGTGCATTTTAAATATATTTTAAAAATGTATTCTTCTGTCTAAAGACCATATTTTAGGTAATTACAAGATTGATCACGTTCCACAGTCATAAAGCATGTGTCTAGAATGGCAGGCGTTTGTCATGCACAGGGTTGATGCACTTCCTGGGGGGAAGCGGGTCTAACCGAGGTCACAGCTCGGGAGGACCCCAGTCCCCCCGGGGCCAGGCCCCATGCGGGACCTGCTCTGATTCACTGAATGACCCAGCCTGGGAGGAGGCTTGACAGCGCTCCTAGTCGTGGGGAGCGTTTTACTTCTCCTGGTTCTTCTACTTTGGAAGAACTGGATTTTAAGGAGCTCGACTTGCACTTTGAGTTCTGTAGCTGATCGATCCACTTTCCTTTTCTGTCTGGTTCCTTCTAAAAGCTGTGACCCAGGTTGTTTGCAGTACTACTTGGAGGAGTGTGGCAAACTCATTGCGAAAATATTGGTAGGAAGCCCTGAAGTAGGACGTGGTGAGTTTGATGTGAGAACAGGACGACACTAATGGAAAGAATTATTTCCAGAGAAGACAGATCTGGTTTTCCATTGGGGGATTGGTAGTTCGGAAGAGCGGGCCCTGGAGGCGACATTCCCCAAGGGTCCACCTGAGCTCTGAGTAAAAACTGGGGTACTTTGCAGTGGTCTGGATTGCCCCCACTAGCACTGCAAAGTCCCAGTGGACTCCTGAGTGATTGAGCAGTTGCTTCTCGGGAGGAAGTCCACTGGGTGGGTGGTGGAAGAAGTCTGAGATGCAGGAGAGCAGCTAGGATGCTTGTAAGAGTACGCAGTCTGATTTTTCTTGGTAGATTAAAAAAAATTAAAGTTCTCCTAAATTGTAACCCCTGCTGTTAAAAATGAATTTAAAAAAGAATCTATCTGGGGTTACTTGTTTTGGGATATAGGTTCCCACTGATTTTGCAGATTGGAGGGAGACACGTCTGTTGTTCCAAGGGGTCTGTGTCTGGGCCCTGGTGAAATCTGGGGAGAGCTGCACAGTTCTCTCAGCTGGAGATGATCGCTGGTGCAAGGCTTTTTTTTCTCTTCGCATGATCATGCTGAAATGCTCTGTGGTTAATGATTGGTCAACTGATTGAGCATCGCAACCTTTGAGAGCCCAAAGGTGGACGTGTCTCCCATGGTCCTATAACTCAGCTTTCCTTTCCTGGTGGAGTTTAAACGTCTTGTTACCGTCTCTTGTGGACAAACAAGGGACACTGCATTTAAAACAGGACACAGCTCTGTAAAGGGGTAGAGCTGAAGACACTTGGTTCTTTTGCAGAAAGAGTGCATGGCTCTAGTAGGTAATTTTCCCACCACCCACCTAGAGAAACCCCTTAGGACAAACACTCATTGCATAGGCTCATGCTCTTACTCTACCAGGAAATAGAAAGCCTGTGCTCTCTGTGATTTGGAATTGGAACAAGGGAAAGGAGAGATAACCATCTTGGCCAAGCTCCAGTCGGCTCAGTGAGTTTTTCCTTTCTCATTCAGATACATATGTAAGGGTTTTAGACACTAAGTTCTCATTGCTGCATATGTTAAAAATGCTTGTCCTTTGGTTACCAGTACAAAGGGGCTTGGTTGAATGAGTTTGCCAGTTATGTTTCCTAAAAGACTCTGGATAGATCTAACATCTATAAGTAAGCACAAATGTAGGTTTACACTTGTATTTATTTCTGTATCTATATAGAGCCTACTTCCTTCTAAGAAATTTAAGCGATGTTTGTGTCTAAGGTGAAATTATAGATTTTATAGTAAACATATAATATATAATAAATTATAACCTTTTACTGTTAAATTACTGATTTGATATTCTTTGAGGTTTAGTGGAATAAACATTAGACTTGGAGTCAGAAAGTTTGAGTTGGGCTCTTCAGCTGGGGAAGCCAAGTGAAGACAGAACTGCTGGATGCTCAGTATCATGATCTAGTAAGTGGATATATGGTTATTAAAATCAAAAGAGTAAATATCTATGGAAAGGCTTTGAAAAGTAGAAAACTATATAAATAAGGGATGGTAATGTATTATGCCTAGAGAATTCACATTGATCTAATTCTATAATCTTACTAATAATAGCACTCAACCATGTCATGTATTTCCAGCTAAAGCCATGAAAGGAGCCAAAGGCATATGGTTTTTAAAATTATCTAGTTTCACTGATCAGAAGACAGTCCAGAAATAGATACAAATGACATGGTCACTCAGTGGAAATAAGGACTATTCCATAAACATTGTGGCACAGTTGACTGGTCAACTCAAAATAAGAACCAATCTGTAATTCATTTGTCATCCTCAAAAAAATTTAAGGTGAATTCAAATAAAATGGAAGGAGTGATATTGTTTGAAAAACTACCAGGATAAAGATGACTGGAGGAGACCATGAGATTTTGAATAATAAG